TACATGCATGCAGGGGCATACAATGGATCTACTCATTTAAATTTCTGTTCCCAGGCCGTGTTCCTGCTCAGTGGAAATGTAAAGGGAATCATGATTATTAACCTAATCGTAAATCAAAAAATTTTATATTCCCCGTGGTTTGAACTAGCTCAATCCCTCGCCCCTCAACTGAAAGTGAAGATAGGGCCCTGTGATCAAACCCACCTCACCCCCCAAATCCATTCCCCCTCTGCCATCCGACGTTGGTGTGGATATACATGACCCTTGAATCATTAAGTGGGTGTAATAAAACTCTGGTTTATTGTCTGCTAGCTGAGACAATTTTTTTTTTGACAGGAAAATTTGTTGGGAAGTAGAAGGTCAGACACTCTGCTGGATTTCAGCTTTTCAGTAACCATGAAATTTGTTTTTTGAAAAAAACGCCAATTTGGTTGTGTGAACCTGTGAGATACTCGATCGAACTTCCAGATCCGAGGACCCGAATGGGAATAACCGGGAGACTGCAGCAAACTTATTTCTTTTCTATATATTCTGTGTTTGAGACTCATGTGCGTTTCGTATAATTTCTCTCTTCTGATGGTGAAAAGAGTCGCTCAACTGTGGCTGAGGAGAAAAATTTACCTCAGAGACAATTTTAAAATGTGATTTGTTCCGATCATTCGCCGAAAAATGCTATCATGGTATTAGTTTATACTTCTAACATAACTAAACGCACTGATGATAGCACTGATCTCAAATTAAAGTAGGGAGGAGGGAATTCTGAATTTTTTATCATGAAGTCTTAAATTTACGCAGGGTCCCTTTTGATACCAGCCTATGGCTGACGGGGCTACCCTGCCTAAATAAATATGCTTGACTAGACTTAACTAGCTTTTATTGAGTTAATTCACAAAAAAACATCATACATTTAGGTCGCACATCCTTTCAATTCCTCAACTCTTATATTGACAAAGCAAACCCCCGGTTTCCCGATTCTTAATTTGAGCCTTTTTACTACTTTAGCGATAGCGCAGTTTCTGCTTGAATCTTTGGTTGAGGATTTCGGAATTTAAGCTCATGAAAATTTCAATTATGGCAACTTCTTGAAGATTTTAAAACCAGTCCAGTTATTTTAAGCTGCGCATGATGTTTTACTGCGCTGCTGCAGCTACGAGCAGAAAATTTGCTGCTGTAATGAGTCAGCCAGGCACTGTTAGA